TGGCAAAGCCAGAGTTGGGCTTCAAAAAACAAAAATTTCATCCTAAAAAGGACGGACAGTTAAGGTGCTCTGACTGAACGACTAACTTTCTACCCCTCTAGGACATCACACAAGCGATAAACAACCGATGACACAAAGTGTCACAATGTGGATGAGGATCACCGTGGAAAGGTCACAGAAACCGCGTTCAGACAATTGGCCATATTTATGGCCTGCCTATATTGCGGCCCCTGGCAAAAGCCAGGGTGGGGCTTCAAATAACAAAAAATTTCATCCTAAAAAGGACGTAGGTATTGATCATCTAGTAAAGGTGCTCTGATTTCCAGCTTGCCATAAGCGCATCGGGGTTTAGGTTTAAACAACGGATCAACTTTATTGCACAAGGGTAGTAACCGATCAGTGCTCTGTTCTAATTCTAACTCATGTAATTTTTTTGGGGGCGGGATGGGGGGGGGGGGTGGTGGGAGGCACTTTAACACCTATAGGACTGAACTACCAACACAGATTTATGTAAAATCCCAGGGGATTTAACTGCCCCCACAGTTTTATATTAAACCCTCTAATTACGGCCCCTTGAATTTCCCCGGCTGTTTTTATTTTCCGGTCCCACGTGTCTCGTCAGTCTACTGACAAGACATCCACCTGGCCGCTTCGAGTTACTAAGCTAAGTGATTTTGTGTGGTATTGTTTTATTTATGTATATGCCGATGAAGGCTCCATAGACTCAACGTTCACGTTTTGTTTGTGTTATATTGTGAAGCTTGCTGATATACTTTTCATTCGGTTTTATCTTTTTTTTTTTGGGATACTTATAACGCAAGCCTGCATCCAAGGATTCTCAGCCCAGTGCACGAGCTCCGTAGCACCGGCCAAGTTCCTGAAATAGTTTAGGTATATTTTCAACTCCAATTGTGCCAGGGTAGCGCCGCTAGGCTACTCTTTTCTATTTCCAGCTGTTAAAAGATTTATTACGTGTGCAACAATACACACGCATCATACACACGCCTGCGCGCGCACACACATACACGCACACGCGCAAGCAGTTTCGTTTTTCGGGAGTAACACCGGTGCTAATTTGACACGGACTCTATATGTCAACATCCGGTGATGGCCGTCGTCTGCGGTTTGACTACCAGAGGTGGCCCACACACAACGGTGAGTCGGGCCACATTAATACTGCCCCTAATGGGGGTCGTTCTGCTTTTTATGCACTTGCTTTCTTCAGAAAACTGATTGCTTTTTTGTGGCTTGCAAACTTTAATCCGCAACTTCAGTTGTCTACTAAGATTGAAAGTTGTTGCTAGGGAATTTAAATTAAAATAAATAAATAACTGTCATCATTCATCATTGATCCGGCAGTTTACTATAACTTAAATTATTCTTGAATAGGTTGAAAGGAGCAAAACTTGAAATATAATTATATAATAATAATAATATAATGATAAGGCTTTCCTCCGAATAACGGCCCCATATTATGCCGGCCAAAGAAAATACCCTGACAGGGCCTCAATCACTCAATCACATGTAAATTGCGGACTTCTTTCCAGCGAATATACTGCCACCAGTTAAAGTCATCGCCGAGAGTATCTCCCGCGCCGCTACGAGCAGCGCGGAGGGGGGACTAAACTAGATGGTTGGGACTCACGAGCAAATAAAATGAGGAAGCTGCAGGAGATGCAGTAGCTGCTGCTCGTGAGTCCCAGCGATCTAGTTGCACGTAGCGACGCGGGGGATACTCTCGGCTTAAGCTTCTCTGCAGTTTGCTGGAAAGAGGATAGCCAATGATAATATATTATATAATTAGACAACATAGTGTTGGACAGAGAGATGACAAACTGAAATCTAGATATGATATACAGGCTATCCTCTGAATAACGGGCACATATTATAGCGTCAGCAAAAACACCCTAACAGGGCCTCAGTCACGTGTTAATTGTCCACTTCCAGCAACCTAATTTGCTGTTTTCCGCATCTCCTGCAGCTTTGCTCGTGATGGGGGATACTCTCGGCAGTGGCGGTAGTCGCCGGAAAACTGCAAATTAGGTCGCCGGAAGTGCGCAATTGACACGTGACTGAGGCCCGTTGTTTTTGGCAGCCATAATATGTGCCAGTTATTTGGAGGATAGCCGATATACACTAGAGAACTTAAAGTGTGTACATAAGTTCTTAGAGTGGAACCGAACTGGGCGAACCATAATTATTAATTTGTGTGAATTATAAAATATAACTGGGTGAAACAAAAATTAAAAATTACCCAGGGATACCAAAAGCGAAATGCTCTGTTTAATTGTTGGTTGAACCTGTTAAATTTATGGTGACTAGACTAGCCTTTTGACACTAAATCTTCAGTCAAGTTCAAGATGTCCTGATCCATGCCGCCTTTTTAAAGTTATAAATACAGGCAGCGGAGAGCCAGGATCCTTGGCAGATCTTCCTACACCACAGATCTTCCTGCACCACAGATCTTCCTACACCACACATCATTCACTCAATAAAGGCTGACATCACACCCTCAGTATATCCTTAGTGTGTAGCTGTTGAAAGCACTAGTTCCGTGTGAATTTACTATTCGTCCTTGATTTCCTGTGTATTGTTTTTGTCTGCTGTAGCACCTTTTGACTTTCTGTTATTGCACTCTGGTCATGGTTGTTGAGCAGCACAAAGGTTGTATGTCTCCTAGAATAATCAGTATGTCAGGTCAGGTCCAGACTGTCTTTTGTCATGGCATTGAGGTGCAACTGATGCTTAGGATCTTAGATTGTGGAAAGGCATGATCGCCCACTCCAGTTCGCAAAGCACTTGATGATAGTGATGATATATTATGTTTGTTACATTGTTGGAAAGATGAATACTAAACACACGTCATCAATTAGGTTCAGTTTCCCTAATGGAGGGAGTCTAATAGACCTCAAATACTTTGTCTGTTGTCTTGGTTAACCATTCTTTCAAACTGCTATTTGTCCATCTCTTGTTGTTATCCCTCCCTACCTCTGTTTTCAGATTTCTCAATTATTTGTTTAATTGAGTTGTTTGTCATTTGTGAGAGAATGTTGGCTTTTCTTGTGCACAAATATTTCACTTGTATACCCCCCCCCCCCCCCCCCCCACTTCCCCCTAGCTTCTCTACCTGGTGACATATAAGATCACTTTATGCTATGCATAAGTTGGAGATATAAAGAGAAAAAATATATGTGTATGGTCCTGATTTTACCGTGATAAAAAACTTGTATCAAATGTTTTGTTGGGCCATAAACCTAAACCATCTGCTGCATACACTTTAGCAAGGTTACTTAATCCATACTGCATACTTGTTTTGTTTGAAATAATCAATGCTACAGATCAGTGACTGTAAACTAAATCTTTAGAGACGCTCTGTAGATAAGCCATCTACTTTCACACTGAGCTGTCAATGTCACATGTGTCGCCAGTCACTGCCCTGCACCTCTGTAAAGAACTGTCAATATTGTATATTAAATGTGCATTCTGAGAATAATTTTCTGGTTGTATCATTAACCATTGCGCCTGCTGTGGAAATGCTTTTTACAAAAGGCTGGAACCTGCAGAAATTGCCTCCTCCCCACCCAGTTCTTAAAAAACAACCACTTGATGCAGGTCATTAATAATAAAACAAAAGATATTTTTTTATCTATCTTTTCTTTTTGTGTTTCTTTTGAGTAGTAAATTAAGATTTGTCACTAACAGTGACAGAGTGATGTATTCAATGGAACACATTCCCTGGGGCCTGATGGATCTATTGTTTGACTCATACCGTTATCTTTAATGCTAAGTTTATTGGGAAAATCATGTTGAACTGGCTTTACAAAAGGCATTTATGTTGGAGATAGAATGGACGAAAGTCCTTATGTAGGTTGGGGGGGGGGGGGTGGGGGGGGGGGGGGGGGGGGGGGGGGGGGGGGGGGGGGGTGGTACTATAGATCCAGTAACCACCTAACAGCTCGTTGAAAAAACTAATAAAGGATTTGCTAAAACTGGATACATTGGGCCAAAGGATACAGATATCTCAGCCTAGCTGTAAGCCACCACACAACTTACCAACCATACTTTTAACTCTACCAGGCTGCTATACCGCTTTTCTGAGAATTTCCTCATTTGCTGCTAAACCGCTGTACCTAATTTTCATTACTTTGCGTGCTGCGTGAAAAAAAAAGTGTCATAAACTAAAAATAACCAACCAGTCAATGTCGAACCTCATGGTTAGTCATTGAAAATGGCTGTCCCTATGTGTTTGGATTGACTTTGTGTGGTTTAACGTGAAAATGTTCTGAAAATTCAAAATGAAGCAGCTGATGAATCAAGCACTTCAACAGGAAAGCAAAGTAGCTCTAGACTTTTTCACAGTCCAACAGGTGATCAATACTTTGGTTAATTCAGACTCTGAGGAGTCAGAATTTTAACTTGAATACTTTTCCAGTTCAAATGACAGAGACAGTGAGAGCTCGAGTGATGAGGAGAATCTGAAACCTTATAGATCTAGAGCAAGAACGATAGTAAGAGAAGGGGGGCGTGTCCCTGAAACAGCTGATGGGGGAGATGTAGAAGGTTGGACAAGGAATTTAGTTATTGCCAAATACAGATCTGAATTTCAATGATAAAATGGAAACCTATTTTCTACAATGTCTCTAAGTTTCATCTTATTCTAACCACTTATTTGCATGTAACTAATATTTTTGTATATAATGTTGGTTTTTCTCTTAATGCCCAGAAGCCCAGGCATAGGGGGCAGTTAGGTTCAGGGCCTCAGGTCTGGTAGAGTTGAGGGTGAACACCGGAAAAAGAACAATAATGAATTAAAGTAACGACTGTCTTGTATTACAAAATATTTATAACTTTGTAATCTTTTAATTTTCCTCAGAAAGATGTTTCTGGTTGTCTTTGATGGGTTATCCACCATCTTGTGTCAAGAAAATGTAGCCAAATTGTACTGTTTGAAGAGGCAGTGATAAGGCGCAGATGAGGACTGCCACAATTGTTACACAGCCATGAAAATCACAATCAAACGATATGCACTGGTAGCATACGTTGCTGTTTTGTGCAGCGCCTGTGTGCTGCTTTGGATGCTTGTTTTCATCTCATCTGATGACGTTGTGTCTGTAAGTATTGAACTGTGTGCAGTGAAATAGTATTTTCATCTTGTCTGATGTGGTTGTATCTGCATGTATTGAATTATGTGGAGTGACATAATCTTTTGATGTCATCTAATGACGTACTTCTGTCTGTAAGTATGGAATTTTGTTGAGTGACATAATCTTTCAATATCATCTATTGACTTAATGTCTGTAATTATTGAATTGTGTAGAGTGACATAATCTTTTCATCTCATCTGATGATGTTGTGTCTGAAAGTATTGAATTATATGGAGTAAAATAGTCTTTTCATCTCATCGGTTGATGTTGTATCTGTAAGTATTGAACTGTGTAGAGGGGAGTAGTTATTTTAATCTCAAGCTATTTCTTCTGCATTGGCTGTTAAAAGGGCAGCTGGCACCTGATCACTGTGCAGGCACAAACACAACCAATGGATTTAACTAGGCATCTTAGAAACATACCACTGTAGAAATGCCAAATAAGCTGCATTTACAGAGTTGAGCCAGTACCGGATTCAGGGCTTCTCATGGTGAAAGGAGTCACTTTAGCCTTATTGTGTAGAGCTCGGCTATTCAACTAAGTTTACTGAGAGGGCCACAATTTTGAAAAAGGGGGTGAGTCATGGGCCGGAAGCCCGAGCCCAAAGATAGATAGCTGATTCATATAATATGAATCTAGCCACTTGCTAGATCTTCGCAGGCAGATTTGGCCCGCAGGCGGCCATTTTGATAGCCCTGGTGTAGAGTGTAGTAGTTCCCATTGTCTCATCAGATAATGTTATGCATTTGAGTTTTGCAGTATGTAAAATGGAGTAGTTAATTTTCAACTCGTGATGGTGAATTTACTTAATTATTGCAGCTTGTTGATGAGATAGTTCAAGAACTGTATAAAATATATATTAAAACTAGTAAATGTACAGTGAATTGCCTGGAAATGTTTCTTTGTCTTTGTAGTGTTCACTGCCTGTAAAATCAAAAGTTCTGTTCAGAACTTAGTTTTGCTTGCATATCTATTTTACCTCTTATTCTTCTTCTTAAAGTCTGTGCCATATGGAGTTGATAGTCATGTCTATCCACAACCTTCTGTCTTGTGTGCTTACAATCAACTCTGACACAGATGATTGATTCTCCATGCCATGATGTCAAACTGTCCAGCATCTTTTCTATTGTTCTTCCTCTGCCTTTTCTTCCCCCCTGCTTTCCTACTGGCACAATGTGCTCTAGTTTTCTCCTTCTCATCACACGACCAAAGAATATAGATTGTCTCTTTTTGATGTGGACAATCAGTTCTCTTCATGAGTCAGTTTCTTTCAAGACATCCTTATTACTTTTAATCTGTCCAGGGTATTCTCATCATTCGGTTAAACCACATCCCTGCAGCTTCCAAATAATTTTTCACTAATCTTCCAACTGTCAATGATTCATTTCCGTACATCACGATAGGATTTAGAAAGCTTTTAAGAAATCTTTCAGATCTCAGTTGACAAGGAAAGATGACATCAAATATTCTGTTTGTAAAATGTTGCCTTTGCTTGAGCTATTCTACATTTAACTTTTTTAATTCCTCCTTCTTCTGATGTGATCAGGGTACCCAAGTACTTAAACATATCAACTTGCTTGAGGTTTGTCCCATTTTCTTTGATGTTGCATTTTTAAGGGTCAGTTTTATCTTTAATTACCATTACTTCTGTTTTTCTGCTGTTAAGACTGAGACCCATGTTTCCACTTTCTGTTACAATTATATCCATCATTTTTTGCAGTTGTGTTTTATTTTCAGCGATCAGAACTATATCGTCAGCATGTTACAGCCTGTTAACAGTATGTCCACCAACTGCTATTCCTGGCATACCATCATTATTATTTCACTGTCATCATCATGTAGCAGGTCCTTTGCAGAACGTCGCTTTCATCACAGTCTGCCTGAAAGAAACTCAGTCTCTCGCCAGTTCTCCTGCCTCATGCACTTTCACACTCAAGGAGTCACTTATATCCTGTACCCATCTTCGTGTCTGTCGGCCCCTGCCCTTCCTTCCTGGTACCATGCCTTCTACTATAATTTTTTCCAATCTGTCATGGCGCTTGATGTGACCAAAATATTTCAGCTTTCGTGAAAGGATGCTGTTTATTAGCCAATCTTCCTTGATGTTCAGATCTTTTAAGATGTCAATATTTCTCATCTTCTTTGTCCAAGATATTCTGAGAATCTTTCTATAGCATTTCAGCTCAAAAGCTCCTATTCTCTTTCTTAAGGACTGAGAGATAGTCCACCACTCACATCCGTATGTAGCTACAGGGAAGATGCATGCTCTAAAAATTCTAATTTTGATCTCCTTGCTGGTGCTTAACCATAGACTTTTAAGGCTGTTCAATCTCTGCATTGCTATGGCCATCCTCCTTTTAATTTCTTTTAAACAGTCTCCATTGTTGTTTATTATAGAGCCTAGATATTCAAAGTTTGTGACATTTCACTGTACAAACTGAATAAAACGGATGATAGTTAACATCCCTGTCTAACATCTTCTTTAATGTTTTGAAAAGTTCCAACTTGGTTGACCGTCCTCAGTTTCTGGTTTAGTTGAGTCCATTTTACAGATCTGGCTTATTTGTGTGCAGTCTGTTGGTTCCTTGCCTCTCAGTTAGAGGCACTTGATTTTTTAGGGTAAACCCCTAATTAGTCAAGTTTAATAAGCTTGTTATGAGGTGGGACTATTCTGTCTCCCCACCCCACACCAATTCTAAATTACTTACAAAGTCAGCAAATCAAATGGTTTTCCCACTTGAAGAGAATACCACCTGATGATATACCATACAAGGCATATACCAAAAGAGGAGAGGGATGTAGAGCAAGAGGTAGACCAAGAACAATATGGGAAGATAACATCAGAAAAACTTCACAGCATCACAGTATGTATGTGGTCGAAGCAGCCAGTAGAGCACAAAGCAGGACCTTATATCTCCATAACAAGAAGAACTACACTGCCAGTGTCAGGATTCATATAAGGGAGATCATTGTGAAATATTGTATATTCATGTTTTAGTTCAATATTATCATCATCATTATACGGATGTGAGTCATGGACTATCTCTCAGTCCTAAAGAAAGAGAATAGGGGCTTTTGAGCTGAAATGTTATAGAAAGATTTTCAGAATATCTTGGACAAAGAAGATGAGAAATATTGACATCTTAAAAGATGTGAACATCAAAAAAAGCTGAAATATTTTGGTCATATCAAGCGCCATGACTTATTGGAAAAAATTATTGCAGAAGGCATGGTACCAGGAAGGAGGGGCAAGGGCCGACCGACACGAAGATGGGCACAGGATAAAAGTGACTCCTTGGGTGTGAAAGTGCATGAGGCGGGAATAACTGGTGAGAGACTGAGTTTCTTTCAGGCAGACTGTGATGAGAGCGACGTTCTGCAAAGGACCTGCTAGATAATGATGATTATTGTCATCTTCTTCTTCTTCTTTTGCTCCTCCTCCTCCTTCTTCTTCTCCTCCTCCTTCTGCTTCTACTTTTGCTCTTCCTCCTCTTCTTCTTCTTCCTTTTCTTATTTTTCCACTTCTTTATATTCTTCTTCTTCTTCTTCTTCTTTTAATTATTATTATTATTATTATTTTTCTTTGTCTTCTTTTTCTTCGTCTTATTATTTTTCTTCATCTTCTTCTTGTTCTTATTCTTATTTTTTCTTAATCTTTATCTTCTTCTTATTATTATTATTCATATTTTTTTCTTCATCTTCCTCTTCTTCTTCTGTTTTGTTCCCTTCCTGGCTCCTACCTGAAGGTGTGACACACTGAGATCACAGTCTTGGTCAGAATGGCAGACCACTAGGACAACCCACAGGCACTCTGTTCATCTTCTAAATAGGTTATAATTAGGGTACTACACCAGCTAGCTATATCCTGCAGTCCTGTGCAGATAAGGATTTTCTTGTATTAACTAATGAACATGATATTACTCTTTACAGCCTCTGGGTAAAATGCACCGGACATCTGAGAACGATGCTGCATTGGATTATGGGAGTAAAAATGTCATGAATCCTGATGGGGATAACACTTATGTATGTGTGTGTATACGTTTGTGTGTATGTGGAATATTATAGATCTCAATCAAACGTTGTTTCATATATACATATATATATATATATATTGCATACATTTACATGTGCACACACATGCATACAAACATATCTACTTGCATACTTACTTATGTGCAAAACTGGGTACCAGGCCATTTCTTCTTCTGTTCGTATTTTACTGCTGCAGGTGTTGAGGGAGATGTAGGGTTTTACTTTTTGCTCTTCTCGCCGCTTCAGCCACAGACACATATTGTAGAGTTTTGATGATGTCATCTTTCCATTTTGTTCTTGATATGCCTCTTGCTCCATATCTTTCTCCTCTTTGAGTCTATACCTTGTATAGTATGGCATCACAAAGTGTTTCCTCTATTCCTCTAAATGGGCAGAACGTTTGATTTACTGCCTTTGTCTATAATTTAGGACTGGTTCTGTGCCGGCTTGATCTCCTATGACCTAATTTCTGATCTTATCTCTTCTGTTCACTCCTGCAGCCCTTCTGAAACATCTCATTCCCATGGTTGCCACTTTTCTTTTCTGGTTTATTGTGGGTGACTATGTCTGGCACTGGAGTTCCACAATATGCTTTGTGTGAGATATTTAATTTGATGATCAGGTTTGTCTTATGCTATAAAATACCAGGCTATTTATCTGTCTGTTTATTTGCCTGTCTACCATTTTATTTACCTTCTAGTTGACCTACCTACCACTTTACCTGTCTACTGTCTACCTGTCACTCTACCTAGATTTATTACAATCACAATTAGTTATTGTTGTTGAGAAATGAAGGCATAATTCGAGCACATTTCAGCATTTATAACTAATATTTAGTTGTTATCAGTGATGTTTATTATTATCTGTCAAAATATGTGAATTGAACGATGAGGAGGCCAGAAGGCAAGAATGTCAGATGGGCTGAGGCCTAATTCTCAACCCATTGAAAACAATTTTGTTCATTCTACATATCCATTTATCTGCCTGTCTGCATGTACATTTGCTTGCTCTCACATACAGACATACATATGTATGTATGTTCAAGCATACAAATATGTGCATGTGCACACATACATTACATCATACCTACAGAGTGATTGAAAAGTAACTCCCTATTTCAAAATACTTAAAATGATTTATTTATGGTGATTTATCTCAGATCTATCAAACAAAATATTCACAAGCAATGGGCAGATGGAATATCTGAGGCCATGAATGCCAGCATCTGTGTAGCACATGCAAATGCTCAAACCCAATGCTTCTTTAAAACCTGACTCTGAAAGCGGGCTCACACTCGATGCCTCTTCAAAACCTGACCCTGAAAGCAGGCTCACACTCGATGCCTCTTCAAAACCTGACTCTGAAAGCAGGCTCACACTTGATGCCTCTTCAAAACCTGACTCTGAAAGCAGGCTCACACTTGATGCCTCTTCAAAACCTGACTCTGAAAGCAGGCTCACACTTGATGCCTCTTCAAAACCTGACTCTGAAAGCAGGCTCACACTTGATGCCTCTTCAAAACCTGACTCTGAAAGCAGGCTCACACTTGATGCCTCTTCAAAACCTGACTCTGAAAGCAGGCTCACACTCAATGCCTCTTCAAAACCTGACCCTGATAGCAGGTTCGCACTCAAAGCCTCTTCAAAACCTGACCCTGAAAGCAGACTCACACTTGATACCTCTTTAAAACCTGACCCTGAAAGCGGGCTCACACTCAATGCCTCTTCAAAACCTGAACCTGATAGCAGGTTCGCACTCAAAGCCTCTTCAAAACCTGACCCTGAAAGCAGACTCACACTTGATACCTCTTTAAAACCTGACCCTGAAAGCGGGCTCACACTCAATGCCTCTTCAAAACCTGACCCTGAAAGCAGGCTCGCACCCAATACCTCTTCAAAACCTGTACCTGATAGCAGGTTCGCACCCAATACCTCTTCAAAACCTGACCCTGAAAGCAGGTTCGCACCCAATACCTCTTCAAAACCTGACCCTGAAAGCCCTCAGGCAGATCAAGACAAGTTAAAGTCCCAGAAAGTAAAGGTGACTGGTATGAATGTTGACCACATCACCCACCAAGAACTGATTGGTCTATAAATTATAAATATAGGTCTAGCCCTATATGCCTGAAGGCTGGAAAAGGATCCTTAATTTTTAATTAAATTAAAGCAGCACAGTGAGATGATGATGATGATATTAAATCTAAGTTTATTTTGTCAGGGACAAACCAGAGGTCACCAGGTAAAACCAGTTCTCTTGCCTGATAGCACAGCTCTGAGGAATATGTCCTGGCAAGATTTGTCAAACCTTTACCATACGTAAGTGACAGTTTGTGTCAAGCCTTTTTTAAAAGAAGTGACTGTTTGTGCCAAAAGCATGCATCCGTGAGCGATAGTTTGTCTCGAACCTTTATTATATGGAGTGATTGTTTTTGCCAACAATTAAGAATATGTAAGTGACAGTTTGTGCCAAACCTTCATTTTACGAAGTGATAGTTTGTGCCAACAATTAACCATACATGAGTGACAGTTTGTGTCTTTTCTATCTGTTTTCTCCATGTGAGTCTTGGGTCAAAGGTTACTCCTAAATATGACGGTGAGTCATCATGTTTCAGTGCCTGGCTGCCATATGTAAGTGAAACTTTCTGGGGTTTGGTAGAGACTGAAAATGGTGTGTGTGGTTTTGGCCCCATTGACAGGCATGTACCAACGCGAGACAGGAAAACCATGTTGGAGCCACACTTTATTATATCAGCCAGAGCAGAATGGGAGATGTTAGCCTAAAACACTTATTGTCATGTGTCATGAAGATGATCTCAAAAATAAACAATGAACTATTATCTGGATAAGAGGAATTTCTGATAAGAAGAACTATTTCTTGGGTTCCCGGTAAGTTCTTCTTATTAGGTTTGCACTGTCTTTGGGGGTTCTAAAGACTGTTATTTCCTCTGCCCATTGTGAAAACAGTCAACATTTGGTGTATAGAACTTCGCTTATCTTCTGGTTTAATTTTATTGTACTTTATTTTGATTCTAGATATCTGAACGTGAACCAGATTAAGTGCTCTGATATTCTACGAGTTGGTCATGTCACTGACGGGGGATGGGATGTTTGCAATGACAGGCCATATGCTCCAAAGGAACCCTGCATTGTATATTCTTTTGGGTGAGTTAAGTTTTAAGTTAGTCATTTCATGTTTGATTGTATAAGGGGGTCATTAACATTATTCCAGTAACTTAACCCCCCCCCCAAGCCGAAAAATTAACGTGATTGATTAGGTAAAAATTCCTGCAAAAATCACTTTTCTATCTTGTCCATGCTGACTTGTTTACAAGATGCATGGTTAATGCTATAGGCTGTGTTTGCTCCTGCTCAAACTTTAAGAAGGTCAGGATATGAATACATTAATTAAGAATATCATTTTGGGCGGGAGTTCTTTGATCCAAAGTTTTTTTTTTTTTTTAGATTAAGTTCACATCAGAGGTTCCTGTAAGGCTCAGTGGTCTTGGCATGCATTACGGATACATGTGTGTTTTTTTTTTAAAGGCACCGACAGGTTTAATGCTTCACCCTGTTCATTTTTATTAATAACTCCCTTTCATCTGTCTTTTTATATTTGGAAACAAAATGTGTTACGTGTAAATAAATAAATAAATGTTTAACATATTTATTGGTGACCTATGCTGAATTTGTTGCTGGAATTGCAATGGGATCATGAACTATTATTTTTAGTGTTCCTGTTACAAAATGGTTCAGTTGTATGGAAGCTGCTCTAGCACAATTGCTTGAGTTCTTGTCTGTCAACTTAAAATCCATATTGATGTTGAGTTTTCAAAGTGTTTCTGTGCTCCTTGTTGGACCTAGCGTAAAATAGGGACCAGACAATATTTTGGGGAGTAAAGACCCCACCAGTCCTTGAGCCCTGTCAGATCTAGATGAAGGTGAGACTAGCACTGGATGTCTGTAGGTAGAAGACACTGTAGACAGAAGGAATTGAAAGGTAGAAGACACTGTAGACAGAAGGCATTGAAAGGTAGAAGACACTGTAGACAGAAGGTATTGAAAGGTAGAAGACACTGTAGACAGAAGGTATTGAAAGGTAGAAGACACTGTAGACAGAAGGCATTGAAAGGTAGAAGACACTGTAGACAGAAGGCATTGAAAGGTAGAAGACACTGTAGACAGAAGGTATTGAAAGGTAGAAGACACTGTAGACAGAAGGCATTGAAAAGTAGAAGACACTGTAGACAGAAGGCATTGAAAGGTAGAAGACACTGTAGACAGAAGGCATTGAAAGGTAGAAGACCTGTAGACAGAAGGTATTGAAAGGTAGAAGACACTGTAGACAGAAGGAATTGAAAGGTAGAAGACACTGTAGACAGAAGGAATTGAAAGGTAGAAGACACTGTAGACAGAAGGAATTGAAAGGTAGAAGACACTGTAGAAAGAAGGAATTGAAAGGTAGAAGACACTGTAGACAGAAGGAATTGAAAGGTAGAAGACACTGTAGACAGAAGGTATTGAAAGGGAGAAGACACTGTAGACAGAAGGCATTGAAAGGTAGAAGACCTGTAGACAGAAGGAATTGAAAGGTAGAAGACACTGTAGACAGAAGGTATTGAAAGGTAGAAGACACTGTAGACAGAAGGAATTGAAAGGTAGAAGACACTGTAGACAGAAGGTATTGAAAGGTAGAAGACACTGTAGACAGAAGGTATTGAAAGGTAGAAGACACTGTAGACAGAAGGTATTGAAATATAGAAGACACCACTGATGCAAGTAATCAAAGGGCAAAAGATACCCTTTACAAAATAGAATTGTTTTCTTGGTCACTCAGTTGTATCAAAGTGACAAGTTATTTAGCTTTTGATTATGTTAAGAAGAGTAAAATAACCTTGAACATTTGCAATCTTGTCCTAGGGTAGGGGATGATTTCAGTTTTGATGATGCCGTTGTCAGACATTTTGGATGTAAAGTCTACTCATTTGATCCAAGGTCAGTCAAACAGCCAGCTGGTTAGTTTTAGTGTGTCTGTGTGTTGCCAGGTGTGTCTTTGTGTGTATGATATCAGTGTCAATGAGTTGTGACAGTTGTGATAATGTAGTATGGATTTATTGTTATGTATTTTTCTGTCATCACCTTTCTGTTTTATATCATATGTATTGCTATTAAGCTCTCTGTGTGGTTTCAAGGGCTCCATTAGAAAAAGGAAAAGGGGGGGGGGGGGGGGTGGATCCACAGCCCTGTAACTAGTCTTTGAAAAAAGCAACCAAAACACAAAGCTAAGCCAGAATACAATGTACCAACCACACTTCAAACAGGGAATGCAGGAAAAAAAAAAAGACTTGCCACTGCATGCCTTGCCAGCTGACAAGATTGGTCATGTTTCTTCGCCTCTCTGAATCTCTAACAAGATATTTCATTTGATTTGTTTTGGTGGAATTGTTCACTTGCACTTGTGTGTCTTTGCTTTTGCCAAGCTGACTAGCTGTGTGTTTGTGTTTCTGTCACTTTAGTGGAGATCCTTTCAGGGTGTATGGTTTATGACAGCGTTGCGAATGCACTTGGTAATGCCGGGGTGCAGGGTTCAATTCCAGCTGTGGGCCTTGCATTGGTTTCAACAGTGGTATTGAGTAGCTACTTCAGTAAAAATTTTAAAATGCCCTCTACACCAATAAAACCAGCACAGTTAGATAGCTGTAAACAATCTCTTTCCAATGGTACGCTCATTTAGGCTTGTATGTCATTTCTGAGCTTGAGATATGTAGGTTTTTGTGGAGATGAGATGTAAGTCAACAGCTGCTAAAACTTGTGACCCAGAAACAAGTAATTATTTTTAGTTTTTTTTTACTGCGCAACCTAACTGCTGCAGTTCTGTATCGGCTTTGTTTACATTGCACTGTCATTGGACAAGATGGGCAGGCAATGAGACACAGCCACTGGCTGAGCCAGCGATTGCCTGAAAAATGTCACTGTACATCTACCAAGCCACCGTTCAGTAAGAAATTTTATACACAAATGTAAAATTGGACGGAGAATTCAATTATAACTAGCATTACAAGGACGAGTAACAGTTAAAGCCTAAAGCCAACCTGAAAAACTTATCGCTATTTTCAATCAAACTGATGTAATAGAAAAACAGAGGACGTCCGGCTGTCGTAGACATGCGCTGTTAGTCGGATTCCTTCCCGCTGTTTTCAGCCATTTAGAGTGGGTGAAAATCACACCAATCCCGAAATTTCATGAGAGATTAGGACCCATCCCGAAACCCCAGCCGACATTTCCGAAACAAGTTTCAAACGGTTTCCATGGTAACGGAAATTCTCGAAAAGATCGCAAATTTCCGAAACTGTAGTCCCTATATTGAGAAGCCACCGTCCAGAAAGCAAAGGCAAACTACTGGACATAAATTTGCCTAGAAAAACCACAACAGGCAAAAAATGCTGGGGCTGGTTCTGCAATGTCCTGTAAAGGAGACGCAACTAACTTTTTGTTTGTTAAATGGTTCACTGGGATTTGAAAGGAGAAAGAAGAAGGAGGAGGAGAAGACCACTATGACAACACTGTTTGTCCTGTTTGAGGGTCTGTGCTCTTTTGGGAGTGTAGATAGTAGAGGACCTCTTTGACAGCAGTGTTTAAATCATCACCTTCTTTAAGTTCACTGGTGGAAATTTCTGGTTGTTTGTCCACTTCTGAGCTTTGGTCTTGTTTCGAAACATATGTTTTTTGTGCAGATCTGTTTTATGCATCTGGCTTATTTGTATGTAGATTGTTGGTTCCTTGCCTCTCAGGCAGATTGACTCCAGATTCAAAAGATTTAGTTGCCTTTTACACCATTCTTTTCTGGGGGTCACTGGGTCTGTTATTTCCCCCATCCCAGTGAGGTCCCAGAAACCCATATGGAGAAATGTTTGTGTAACTGGGGGGTCCATGCTGCACTGGAAGATGAGGAAGAAAGCAGAAAGCTTCTATGACAGCAATGTTTGTCCCATCTGGGGGTTCATGCTGCACTGGAAGATAAGGAAGAAAGCAGAAAGCCTCTATGACAGCAATGATTGTCCCATCTGGGGGTCCATGCTTCACTGGAAGATAAGGAAGAAAGCAGAAAGCCTCTATGACAGCAATGATTGTCCCATCTGGGGGTCCATGCTGCACTGGAAGATGAGGAAGAAAGCAGAAAACCTTTATGACAGCAATATTTGTCCCATCTGGGGGTCCATGCTGCACTGGAAGATGAGGAAGAAAGTAGAAAGCCTCTATGACAGCAATGTTTGTCCCATCTGGGAGTCCATGCTGCACTGGAAGATGAGGAAGAAAGCAGAAAGCCTCTATGACAGTAATGTTTGTCCTATCAACAGCATGGCCATGAACAGCAAGCAGAGATCAGACAAGGCATTCTTCTACAAACAAGGCATCGCAGACTCTGACAGGACCTTGCCTAATGGCTGGCAGATGTCACGGTTTGAGAGTTTTCGGGCCGGATTGAAGCATATGAAGGTGAGTTTACTTCTTATAGTCCTTTCCTTGAGGTATTGGTAATCATGTCTATCCACAACCTCCGGTCTCAGGTGCTGTCAGTCATTTCTGACACACTTTCCTTCTACATCATGATGCTGGCTGTTTATTGTCTTCTCTTTATCCTGCAACTTTCCTGTAATCTGCTATGGCTGGTCAAGTACTGGACATAAGTGATATTATCAATGCCATGCGCTGCACTTACGGTACCGAGGAGCACGCCAAAGGGCATGACTTCGTATCCCTGTCTAGACTGATGGACATGGGGGTGCAGCCTGGAGCTGCAAGAAATGAACATTTCACTAAAGGGACCAGATGTTTAATTAACCAACACAGAACAGGCGTCATCAGTCGTTTTACACTTGTGGAGCTTTTGAGGAGGAGATCGGAGCACCTATGGATCTGTCCGGAGTGCTGTGATGATAATCTTTTCTAATCACTAATCACTTTCCTGTTATCACAACACTGCAGTTTACCCCTTTTTCTGATCTGCCCAAAGAGAATGGATCACGGGTTAATTTCTTTCAGTACATCTTCATTACACTGTTTTTGTCTGTGGTGTTGTGTTCATTTGTGAATAATGCCACACTTTTGCCCCGAGTACTGTGTTGTCAATTCTTGACTCAACTCAACTCAAGCTCTCTACATGTACCAGGGAGATCTCATGTCTGACCAGCTGGCATTCCAATTGAAACTAAGCTCTGTGAATCCTAGAGGACATGTGTCGTAACACAAATTCAATTGAGGAAGATAAGGAAGAAAGCAGAAAGTGTCCCGACTGTTGCGATGTTGATTCTTAATTCAACATTAGCAGGGAGAATGAAGAGAATGAGAAGATACACATGCCAGATTTTTGTGTAAGGCAGTATTTTCTGCCAGATTTATGTTTAAAATTGTGGAGTCGTCTTATACCCAGAAAAATATGGTTAATTTTCTGAAAAGAAGATGATGGCGAAGACGAAAGTGGTCTTGGTGGTGCTGATGATTCTGTTTTTCTTTTTCTAGTTGGACACTTTCAGTTGCTGGCATCCTTTTTATATTTGTCACATCCAGATTCCCATCAGCATAGTGAAGTTAGACATTGAAGAGTGGGAATGGGAGGTGTTGCCGGACATTCTGGCATCTGGCCACCTGGCATCGGTCAACCAGCTGCTGTTGGAACTTCATCAGTGCGAAGGATGTTCAGTGTATAATCCACAGCAGGTGTGTTCACTTTCTGTATTAAAACACTCATCATGTCTATTCTTGGTTTGCAGTGAAATTCATGTTGCCCCATGTGTTACCTGCCCCCCCCCCCATGTAACCGGGGCCCTCACCCCATGTAACCGGGGCCCTCACTCTATGTAACCGGGGCCCTCACCCTATGTAATCAGGGCCTCCCCCTCACCCCTTATGTAAATGGGGCCCTCATGATAGGCAAACAGTAGGAACACTTGTGTCCTACCAGGCATGTCAGAAAAGGTCACTAAGGGTAAGAGTTTGTGTGGAAGTGGCAACCTCGTCACGCAGAAAAGAATTATCAGAAAATCCAACCAACCCTAGGTTGCTTGACGGCCTGAGTTGCATTGAGGTGGGGAGGGGTGGGGGGGGTAAAGAGTATAAGAATTAGAATTTCAAGAGGTCTTTTTTTGTCCGCCTCTTTGCTATTTTTGAGCATGGTGTTCATTGTCATCACACCAATAAGTGTGCCAGATCATGGTTCAACCTCTCATGATCACCAGAATCTCAGATCCTGTCTGTGTTCTTGTCACACCTAAGTCATGTGGCTAAGATATCCAGATGTTTATCTCTTTCTTTCCCCCACTTTCTCAATTTCTTCATCATTTGCCGGCTGCCACCGGTGTTTGGGTGGATTTATTTTCATCAGGTGTACCCAACAAATCTTGACTGAGTTTAATTTCTCGTATCAGTTCATTGATCTGGGATCTCCAAGTGGGTTCTGGTAAAACAAGGACAGACCCGCTGTCCTTTCAGAATCAGGTTGTAAAGATGGCGAATAAAGGCTTTGCTGAAATCCTATGTAAAGTAAAGGACCCTTTTCGGTGCTTTCAGGTGTATTGGGCCTTATAGGGAAATTTCCATATTTATGAGACCAGTCAACACTCACTGCATGATGTGTAGTCAGCATCACGTCGGCTGCCTTTACTTCCAGGACTTTACCTGGTACCCATTTATTTCTGAGTTGAGCAGGAAGCCAAGGCTATTTAACAAACAAAAAACAAAAAAGTCTTGGTCCATTTAAATTTGAACCCTTGATCTTAAGATCTGCATACGAGCATTTAGCCACCGCACCCCAGCAGCTCCAAAAATCTGATGTGTTGGGTTAAAAAAACACAAGGTGCCAAACTCCCTTTTAAGAGTAAACACTGAAGAATAGGAAGAAGATCTGTCTCGACCAGGACTGGTCCATTTGTGTTTGTTTGTTAGCCCGTGATATTCTTTCTTTTTCATTATTTTCTTCTCTTCCTCTATTTACCTGATCAAAATTGGAGGGGAGTGCAAGTATCTTCTGTGTGCTTTATCAAATGTGTTGTATCAGTTGATTTTCATTTCTTTAAGGCTGTTATTGATGCCATTATTCCAACCTCTTCATGGTCTTCCTCTTGCTCTGTGTCCATTAAATTTCTTTGGCGTGGCTCTCTCTGGCAGTCGGTATCTGGGAATTTTTGTCAGATGACCAGCCTATCTCATCTGTTGTTCTTTAATAAATGGTATGACTGGTTTTCAGTGTTAATTGTGTATGTTCTTGATATTCTTTGCATGAGGGAATTAACTAAGCGTAAACAGCTAATGTCTTTCACATCATCTTTAGTCTATACCTCCTGTTACCTCCTGTTGTCTCCTGTTACCTTCTGTTGTCTCCTGTTGTTACAAACTGTATTCCCTTATCAAAGACTACTGATCTGTTGTAACTGCTGCTTCCATTGATGATGAACTGTATTTCTAGCATTGAACTATTTGTGTCGGCACTTCTGATGGCACCTTATAAATATGTTGTATGTGTATGCTATTGGCTTCGCTGAGACTGCAGTTGGTGCCAGTTTTGTCACAAGGGGTAGTGAGGCACACTCTGTGTGCTTTTCTTTGGCATAGGAACGGAGCAGCTTTAGGAGGAGAGCCATTCACTATGAAGTTGAGTTGAGTCAAGAATTGATATCACAGCACTCGGGGCATTCCCATGTGTTCTCCGTCCTCATCTTAAGCAGCCTGAGCAGAGTTCCAATATTGATGGTACCGGTCACAATCTGGTTAAATGTACGTCTTGCCTTTCCATTAAGTGTAGTGAGCCAGCCAGATCCTTTGGTTACACCCAGGTGTCTCATTCTCTCCAGGCCATAATAATCCTGTTTCTCTACTGATTCTGTTGCTTGTTCCCAAAGGCCTTGACCACATCTGCCTTGCCATGTATGAATTCACTACCAAGTGGTGCAGATCCAGCCCATCTGTATGCCTGTTTATTACCCACCACACCGGCATTGTCTGGAGAAAAGATCCAAAGTATGCTCATTACCCTTGACCTTCCCAGTGAAGCTTGCCACTCTGCTCGAAGCATCCCTGTCTTCACCTTTCTCAGCATGCTGCAATTACTACCTCCACCTCCATTCTCATGCTAGATGTTGTGGTGTCGAGTGCCAGGCTGTCTTCCTCTCAAAACTAAACCACTGGCATGAATTGTCGTGAATTTACTAGAATTTCCTTGAGTTGGAACTGTGTTGACCTGAGCTGACTTTATATCTCCCGCAGGAGGACAAAGAACCGCCCAGAGATCGCTACATCCACATGCTGGAGCTGTTGCTGGAACTCTACAAACAAAACTTCCGACTGTTCCACCACCACCCTAACTCAGCATGTGTCTACCTGTCCAAGTTCACAATGACCCAGCGAAGTGCTTGCATTGACGTCGGCTTTCTTCGAATTTCATGATACAGCCCTCAGCCGTTAATTTATTTATTTGTTTCTTTCTGCCTCAAGTTCTCCCCGTTCACAGTTTTTGGTCTGTGCACCCTTCTCCTTTTCCTCCTCTGTGTTTTTCTTCTTTTTCTTCTGTCCTGTCATAAAAGTGAACTTTAGTGAATGCTGTCATCACTAAATTCTATCTGGCAGACACCAGCAATGGCTGACATATGCCACATTGGCACTTCTGCTTTTTAAGACTGTTGGCTCGAAATGAGGAGTTCATATTTTATTGTGAACTGATATTTAATTGTGATATGTAGGTAGCCGTGGACGATTGTCATTCGCTGCCTTTTGCAACCTGCAGAATATTCTACCAGGTCTGAAGTTTGAAATTTAAACATGTGTTGATAAAGAAGTGCACTAACTGCTGCGCCAACACATACATTCTGATTTATATTACACAAAGATTCTTGTGTGCGGGCAGGTGTGTGTGCACAAGGGTGGGGGTGCATGCGAGTCGGCATATATTTGTCGGTGTCGTACATGTTTTAGTGGGTGTCGTATATGTTTGCTTTGAGGAAGGCAGTTAACAGTTTTAAAGATTACAGATTGTAGAAAGGAATGATTGCTCAGGTCAGTCATTTTATTTTAGTTGCAGTTATACACATCTCTGTTACCTGTCTTTTCAATCCTGAAAAAGAAAAACATTCAGTTGTGGACAGATGGTAGACTGAAAGAGTTCATCCAGAGTGAAGTGCAAGGTATGTTGGTGATCATTGTGGTGACAGCTCCAGGTCGATATGGAATGACAGACAAAACTGTGATCAAGTCTATAAATCTTCTTTCACTGTGCAGGTGTAGATGGAAATATAAAGTGATAACACTGTGCAAGTCAGACTTGGGAAGTCGCCAGTTGATTGTTTGTTATGTCACATCTTTGCCAATTCTTGTGGTTTTGCATTGCCTTCCGGTGATATCTGCATGTTTGTGTATATGTCTGTGTTTTTGGTTCATGCATAAGTTAAAATGAAATAACTGAAAGGTTCCATGTGTGGGTTCCAGGCTCCCATTGTAAGTTGGGGGTGGGGGGGGGGGTGAGATAGACTCATTTCCTCTATAACAAGCATGTCGGGGAAGTCAGCTATTAGGGGTACCTTTGATATCGGAGTGCATCTGCCTGATAGGCAAGTAACCAACACTATGTATACACATAAGCCAGATCTGTAAAATGGATGCGCACACAAATCTTAAACAAGACTAAACTTGAGTAGTGAATGAGCAACCAGAACTGTCTGCCAGAGTTTACAGCCGGGGAATGCTAAGAATAAGAAGCAGACTGTTATGTTGAACCAGTGCTGCTTTATGTTGAACCAGTGCTGCTGTACGGCTGTGAAACTGGGAGTGATTGAAACAACTAAGAAGAACTTGGAGGCCATGCGGATGTGGTTTCTGATTTGCATGCTGGGATACTGTAGACAGCCTCAGCAACTAACAGTGACTGCCTGGAATTGGCTGATGAAGTTAGAAAACTTTTTACAACTATGAGAAAGAGGCAGACCCCTGGAAAGATCAGTGGTGTAAGAGCCAGACAAGGAGAAATGATGCTTGATTGTCTGAAGTGATGGCATAGGGAACTGATTCAAAATACCAAGGATCGAGATCGGTAGAGAAACATGCTAGCTGAAGCTGCCAGGCACATAATGATGATAATGATATATCTTATTGAATGTTTTTCTGCTGTCTGCAAGATTTATAAGTGGTCGTTAGAAGTGGTTGCCATATTTTGTCTGCAAACCACAATTTCAGCATTAAGTTTGGCTGGTAATGTTGTCTATGTCTGCATGTGTGTGTTTGAGTGAGAGAAACTGATTGGTTGCTTGTCTGACTAGCTGGTTCCTGTGGTGTTGGTTGCTTGTTTGACTAGCTGGTTCCTGTGGCATTAATTGCTTGCTTGACTAGCTGGTTCCTGTGGCATTGATTGCTTGTTTGACTAGCTGGTTCCTGTGGCATTGATTGCTTGTTTGACTAGCTGGTTCCTGTGGCGTTGATTGCTTGTTTGACTAGCTGGTTCCTGTGTCATTGATTGCTTGTTTGACTAGCTGGTTCCTCTGGCATTGATTGCTTGTTTGACTAGCTGGTTACTGTGGCATTGGTTGCTTGCTTGACTAGCTGGTTCCTGTGGCATTGGTTGCTTGTTTGACTAGCTGGTTACTGTGGCATTGGTTTCTTGTCTGACTAGCTGGTTCCTGTGGCGTTGATTGCTTGTTTGACTAGCTGGTTCCTGTGGCGTTGATTGCTTGTTTGACTAGCTGGTTCCTGTGGCATTGATTGCTTGTTTGACTAGCTGGTTCCTGTGGCATTGGTTGCTTGATTGACTAGCTGGTTACTGTGGCATTGATTGCTTGATTGACTAGCTGGTTACTGTGGCATTGATTTCTTGTCTGACTAGCTGGTTACTGTGGCATTGGTTTCTTGCCTGACTAGCTGGTTCCTGTGGCATTGGTTGCTTGATTGACTAGCTGGTTACTGTGGCATTGATTGCTTGATTGACTAGCTGGTTACTGTGGCATTGATTTCTTGTCTGACTAGCTGGTTACTGTGGCATTGGTTTCTTGTTTGACTAGATGGTTCCTGTGGCATTGGTTGCTTGTCTGACTAGCTGGTTCCTGTAGCATTGATTGCTTGTTTGACTAGCTAGTTCCTGTGGTGTTGATTGCTTGTTTGACTAGCTGGTTCCTGTGGCATTGATTGCTTGTTTGACTAGCTGGTTTCTGTGGCATTGATTGCTTGTTTGGCTAGCTGGTTCCTCTGGCATTGATTGCTTGTTTGACTAGCTGGTTCCTGTGGCATTGGATGCTTGTTTGACTATCTGGTTCCTGTGGCATGGGCAGTATTCTTAGTCTTAATCCTCATACAGTCATAAATCTTTTGTTAGTGCTGTCATTCGGAGCAAGGTCAGCACTAGCCTAAACATAATTTTCATACAGTCGTATATGTTGTCAGCTTTATATTGAAGTTTTTGCAACATCACACACATTTCATATAACTTGATAAAGTGTTGTGTTTAACTGTCAAACTTGGAGTACAGTCCCACTATGGCTTTCAAGACAGATAACAGAAATATTGTGTCAGTCTTCTTCTTCTTCTTCGCGTTCACCAGCTGTACACTCTGGGGGAAAGTTCTGGTTGTTCGTTCACTTCTGAACTGCAGTCCTGCTCCAGAACTTAAGTGTTGCGTGTGCATCAGTTTTACAGATTTGATTCACCTGAGTGCATACTGTTGGTTGTTTGCCCCTCAGGCAGACACACTCCGACTTTAAAGGAAGCTGTCCAATTAGTCGACTCTTACGACATGCTTTTGGGTAGGCATTGGGTCTATTCTTGTTTTCCCCACAATGGGGCCCTGGAACCCACACAGGGATATTGTGTTAATGATTGAGAGAAGGAGATAATGGATGGAGACTGAGAGAAAAGATGCTGGACAGTTTGACATCATGGCACGGAAGATCATCTGTGTCAATGTTGATTGAAAGCACACAAGACAGAAGGTGGTAGATATACATGACACAGCATGGACTTTAAATAAGAAGAAGAGTGATTAAGATTGAGCATTATGACACTCCAGTTAAAAAGAGACGATGGACCATTTTGAAGCGGCATGTCTTGTTTGGGAATATAGCGCTGAACTGGGTCACAAATTGTGACGGAACCCGTGCTAAACTAAATCCAGAGACAACAGATCAAATGGTTTGGTCATGTGTCAAGACTACCAACAAATGGTGCACCTCTCATGCAGGTGATGGGGACTGGCACCTTTGATCCCCAGTCTAGCAGGAGACGTTCAAGTTACTAAGTTACTGTGGCTTCTGGGCATGCGTGTAAGCGCTGCTTCTCTCTCAGCAAATGTTGCCAGGTATAAGTATAGTGTGTAATTGAATGTCAGCCTCACATATAGTATGTTACCTCTCATAAATTCATTTTTGTACAACGAAATTACAGCATTTGCTTATACATTTGTAGATATGTGTTCCTAATATGGCATTATTGTTACTGATGAAATGACCTTATATAAAACATTGTTGATTTCACAGCTCTAGCCTAACGGATTTTAGAAACTTGTTTTCAGCATTCTTACACACACAGGACTGTAGATTACACCAGGCTGGTTTAACTCTCACGGTACCCCAGTAATAACTTTCTTGGAGGTTGAACAGGGTATCTGTAATGTGGTCTGCTGTCTAGATTAGGATGTCAGACTTCTAGATAGCATCCCTGAGGTAGCGTTCACTGGCTTTAAACTCCAGTGCCAAGGTGCAAGGAAATATACATGAAGAAAAGTGCATCCATCATCTTGAATAACCCTGTATTTTCATGCAATTACTTCTTGCTTCCTGTAGCCCTTTCTTTCCATGAACCTCTACACAAAGTACCAGTTTTCAAAGCATGATTCTGTAACCTGTTTCTGTGATCTATTTCTACATTTATCAACATAAACTTTATGTTTCATTTTGTGTTTTGGAGACATCTGTTTGATTTATCTCATTGTGGCACACTTTCTATTCATATGTTACCAAAGAATGTGAATGTTTTTGTCTGATGATTCTTGTGTATTTCCACCTGTTGACCATTTGAATTAGTGTTTCTATGAGAATTTAACCATTTCCACTTGTTGACCATCTGAACTAGTGTTTCTATGAGAATTTAACCATTTCCACCTGTTGACCATCTGAATTAGTGTTTCTATGAGAATTTAACCATTTCCACCTGTTGACCATCTGAACTAGTGTTTCTATGAGAATTTAACCATTTCCACCTGTTGACCATCTGAACTAGTGTTTCTATGAGAATTTAACCATTTCCATCTGTTGACCATCTGAACTAGTGTTTCTATGAGAATTTAACCATTTCCACTTGTTGACCATCTGAACTAGTGTTTCTATGAGAATTTAACCATTTCCACCTGTTGACCATCTGAACTAGTGTTTCTATGAGAATTTAACCATTTCCACCTGTTGACCATCTGAACT